CCCCTGCACTCTGTTTGCTGGCAGAGTACTATGAAGATTCATTTGCACATACCCCCAAATTATACTTTTCTGAATAACCTATATATATATAATTCCTTCTGTATACATGTGTTTTTTAATTCAATCTCTTTCTTTTAAAGAAAAAAAACTATAGTTCTTGCAATGTCCAGATATCAAATGAAAAACAAACTTTTATTGTAATTTTAGTATAGTACATCTTGAATTATAAGCATGAGCCATCTTAAAATAAATGTTATTCTAGATAAAAGTTATAAGAGTACAATGTGATCCAGAAATTGTATAAACAAGAATTTTCATCCACATACTTCCTTTGATAATGACGTCATAAATATTTTGGAATGTACACCATTCCAAAATATTACATTTAGAGAGAATTCTCTGTAGAGATATAGAAATAACTTATTGTAATTTGTTCCTGTGCAGGAAAAAAAATAATTCTAGTTGTTTAAAAGAATATAAAGTCTCTTTCATGCTACACAGTTATAGCACATTGGTACCCCTTTAGGTGTCATGAGTCCTTCTATTTTGCAGATAATTCTCAGAAAATTGTAAGTATTGTACAAAACTACAAACCCCAGCAATCCATAGGATGAAGCCATAAAATTTAAAATGACATCAACTATAACTATCACTATCAAAAAAGGATTCAGTCCACTAACAATAATAACATAAACATTTAAAAATATTTATTAAAATATAACTTGCAAATGTATAATATATAACAATAATTGCTATAGCTAGCACTGAATCAGTCAGACCCTCTTCAATTGCATAGCAGTTGGTGGCAAAGTCCTGCCTGAATAAAAAGGTGTTTGAAAACTGGTAAACGGCCAATAGAGAATAAAAAGAAAACTATCCTTCATTGGCAAAGTACTCTAGAGTTTGGAACTGAACACTGAGAACTCTCGCTCTTACTAAATATATTATGCATGCTATTGCCAAGCCTCCTTAAAAAATGAAAGCATCTAAATAAGAGTAAAAAGATAAAGGTAAAGGTATCCCCTGTTGACAGGATTGTCAAGTCGTGTCCGACCATAGGAGGCAGTGCTCATCTCCATTACTAAGCCTAAGAGCCAGCATTGTCAGAGACTACTCTGTGATCATGTGGCCAGCATAACTGCACAGAACGCTATTTACCTTCTTACATTTGCATGCTGTCAAACTGCTAGGTTGGCAGAAGCTGGGATTAGTGATGGGAGCTCACCCCATCATGCAGCACCTGGGCCTTGAACTACCAACCTGCTGATTTTGCAGTCAGCATCTTAACCACTTGAGCCACTATGTGTGAGCCACCACACAAAGGTAGGGAATTTTTAAACCTTCTGTCCCCAAAGTATTTCCCCATCTTCAATTGCCAATAAAAGTGCTCCTTTTTAGTTCCCAGTTTGTGAGGGGATAGTGACAGAGAGCTAATTTTGAGGATGAAGGGGGGGGGGGG